TGCAATTGGCTGTGTGGGAGTCCAGCATCTTAACCACCATGTCACCTGCTGGCCCCTGACTAGATGGACTCTCAAGAGTTTTTCCAACATTAACATCATATGATTTTAGTTATTTACATATTTTAGTATAAGCTGAATCATCTCCAGGCTTTTATTGACAGGTGATAGAATTGTAATTCTTTGGTTGTTTAAAGATGTTTTTATTTGCCTCATTATAATAACTTTCTTAAAATTTGCTCTAACTTGGATTAAGAGTAAGAAAAATTGGGTCAGCAGGTGGCATGGTGGTTAAGGTGTTGAACTCCCACATGGCTAAACTGTAGTTCAAGTCCCGGACCTGGTGGCTTGAAAACACACCAAGTGTGTGTATGTGTAAGTCCAAAATCCCAGGAGAAGAAGGGAGGGGAACGGATTGTGATGTGGCCATGCCCCTTAGGGGGTAATTTCTCATGTTCCTTCTCATTGTCTCTCTCTGGTGAGCCCATGTGCCCTATGCAAAAACCTTAAAACAAAAGAGTAATAAAAAGTTAGTCATAGACAAAGGATAGCGGATTATGGGTACCATTATCTGACTAGAATAAATTCTGCTTTACAGAGAAATATTGTTTAAAAGAGACAAGGTAGAAATTCTGGAGTGAATAATATGAACTATCTTATTCAGACAGTTCTTCAAAAAATGTTCTTATAAATTTCAGGCTATTGATGGGTTTGCTAATTTTTTAAAATGCGTTTTTTATGTGTTTACTTTGCTGTTATCTAATGTGGTTGTTTCTTTGACAGGAAAGAAAAAATGTTTTCTAACCTCTACCTGACATTATATGATGAAGTACCTCAACGATATTCAGGCTCACAAGAATTAAGTGGTAATACGGGTTCTAGCATTTCATCAATACGTTTTACAACATATGCTTTTTAGGAATTGTTTCAGCAATGAATGTCTCTTCTTCTACTCCTAGTAGCTAATGGTATCAGCAATATTACATGATATGACCAATGGTACAGGCTGTGAGGAAGTAAAAGTAGATTGTTTATTCCATAAATAACATTTGCTGTGTTGATAAAATAGTAAAAATATATATTTGTTTTAATTCAAATATGTATTTTTTTTGGAAAAAGTCTAGATTTTCCATACAATGTATGAATTAGTGCTGGAATTACTGATTTCACTGAAATTTAACTACTACTACTCTTAAATATTACTGCTAATATGACCTTTCTCTCCTTTATACTGATCTCTGGTATAATTTGGGCTTCTCTTTTATATTTATGAAATAATTTGGTATGTTTTTTTCTTTTCTGTCTTAACTTTGGCCATAATATGAATTATCTCATCATTCGAATGGATGGTTCATACACTACTTTAGCTTCATACTTTCCAAAACCAATTATTTTATCTCTATTTCTCTGACCAACATTGGTGGCCACAAAATGAACATTATCTTTAGGTTGAGATCTCAGACTGTAATGCCTTGTTTTCTGGTATCAATCTCTTACACTTTAGGCTCTTTTTATTTATGATCTTATTTCCTTGACTTCCCCATTTGGTTCCACTGTGATTGTATGATTTACTGTTGCTCTTAACAGCACTTGACTCACTTAAGTTTTGGTAAGATCACTCTCCTGTTTTCTTTGGTGCCTGTCTCAAACCTTCATTGTTTTCCTCAAAGCTCCAACCTTATCATTTATTATTCAACTCTATTTAAAACATTTCTAAAAAGTCTTTATTTAAAATTAAAGTTTGCTTCTCTGGAATTTATGGAAGTGAATCTTTTCTCCATTTTTTAAAGTTTTTTTTTTTTATGGTAAAAGTATTTGACGTGCTACCTATCCTCTTAACAGATTTTTTGAGTGTGTAGTATAGTATTGTTAGATATAGGCATAGTATTGATAATATTGAATAGCAGACCATTAGAAATTATTCACCTTGTGTAACTGAAATTTCATACCCATTGATTAACAGCTCCCTGTTTCCTTTTTCCCCAGCTCCTGTTAACTATAGTTCTATTATTTGCTCCGTGAGTTTGCCTGTTGTAAATATTTATTTAAGTGGAAGCATACAATATTTGCCCTTGTGAGTGGCTTGTTTCACTTAGAACAAAGTATTCTAGGTTCATCCATGTTATTACACATTTTATTCACTTTTCTTTATAAACATTGAATAATGGTCCATTGTATGTAAATACCACACTTTTTTCAAATCCTTTTATCCATCAATGGACATTTTAGGTTGTTTCCTTATCTTGGCTGTTGTAAATAGTCCTGCAAACAATGTGGAAATGCTAATATCTTGTCAAGATCCTGATTTCGATTCTTTTGGATAAATATCTGAAGTGGAATTGCTGAATCAAATGACTTTTTCCCCTTTTCCCTTTTCCTTAAGAATTATTTTATTTAACTTTATTTATTTATTTAATTTTATTTGACCAGAGAGGGACAGAGCAAGAGAGAGAAGTGGGAAAGTGAGAAAGCACGCCACCAGGTCTGGGACTTGAACTGTGGTCAGCCATGTGGGAGTCCAACACCCTTAACCACTATCCCACCTGCCAGGCCCCCTTTTTTTCTTTTTCTCATGCCAGAAGATATAGGCAATTTCTTGCTGTGAGAGAGAAAGGAAGTACCCCTAGTGGAACATGGTCACTGCAATCCCTTTCCTCTATTTCTCCTTCCCATCAGGATTTTGGGCACTCACACTCATGCCAGGTGTCTTTTTTTCCAGCTATTGGGGTCAGAATTTGAACGATGGTAGACCATGAGAGATCTGGTTCCCAATGCACAGCAGTTAAGCACAGTGCTACAGGGCTAGCTCTACTTTTTTTTTCACATAAGTTAATAAAGACTGTTGGGCACAATTTTTTTTAACTCTTGGTGTTTCTACCTATAAACTTACCTGTAAACATCTATAATAACATCTCTTTTTAATTTTATTTTTTAATTTTTATTTACTTTTTTTAATACATTCAATTACATTATTTAGCTTACAAGGTGGTCATTTCAATATATGAACATTTCTCCCCGGTCTAGTTATAATAACATCTTTTCCTCTTGTCTCATTGGGAAAGGTTCCCTTTCATCAGACTAATCCCTTATTTTCTTCTTCATTTTTTTTTTTAGCTTATTTATTTATTTATTTAAAAATATACTCATGTTTTTCTAAAGACAGGTTCTTGCTCTGGCAATCTTCCTGCCTTAGCCTCTCAACCATAGGTGTCTGACATCACACCAGGCTCTTTTTCTAGTGGGATCTCACTGCTTTGCCCAGGCCAGCTTGTGATACTCTGGCCTCAGCCTCCCTGAGTCACTGGGACAATAGGCACAGGCCAGGGGGCCCAACCTTTATGTTGGACTAGGACTTGAACCTGGGCCTCTCATATGGTTACAGCCTGCAGAGCACAACAGCTGAGGTGCACTTCCATACTGGGCCACATAATTTTTGTCTGGTTTTCTAGGACTTACGTTTCACTGATTTTATACTCTGAAAATGGAGAAGCTTCTTGAAAGAGTTGTATTCATTAATTACTCTGTTTTTTCTTTTCCTATTTGACCGAAATTAGGTTCTACCTCCTATAATCTCCTAAAACTCCTATTATTGTGGTCACTATTTTCAAGTGTTTAATCTTTTGTATTTAGCACTGTCATCTATTGCCCCTTTTCTGAAAATAAAAAATAGTTTCCACTGAATTAAACCCAATTCAGTTTAGCAGACATTTTCTGAGAATCTATTTTGCATTGGGTGCTGGAAATGGATGAAAAATTTGGCCCCTAGGAGCTGACAGTTCAGTGAAGGATATTAACATGTGAGTAATCACAATACCAACAGCTTTGATTAAGATACATACTAAGTTTCAGGGAGCACAGAGAAAGGATTTAATATTCCCAGGGGAAGTTGGGGAAGTCTTCGCCTATGTGAACCTTGCATGATTTTTCTTTGCTTACAGTTGCTGAGGATTCTTGGGGAAACTGGTAGACGTAGAAGTCACTTCCTCCAAACATACTTAAATCATTAGATAGATTCTAAAGTAGAGAGTCTGGAAAATAAAAATTCCTTCCACTTTTTCTTTTAGTAGTTATCATTTTTTTTTTGAGAGACAAGTATGGGAATAAGAATACTATTTCTTTGAAATAATTAACTAAATATTTTGTCATGTGTGTACAGCACTTCATAAAGCCTGTAAAATTTTTAGTAAAATTCGAAGTGGTAAGATTTATGTGAATGATCTGCCAATGATCCTTTGTACCTTGAAGACTTCTGTAAGTGATTCAGAAATGCGACAGGCACTAAAGACCATTGATATTGATGGTAAGTTTTATGTTTTCAGTTTAAGGGTCTGCAGAAATGAGTATAAGTTATATTTATCATATTAATTTCAAATGACAGGAAATTTAAGCTTTAAAATATTGTAAAAACATAATTTTTGCCATGTTATAAAATACTTTTCTATGATGTAAAAGTATTGTTTATAAAAATCATAATAAAAATTGGGCCTCTGGACCAGCAGTTGGTGTAATGGCTATGTCGCTGGACTCCCATGTGGTCGACTGAGGTTTGAGTCCCTGTCCAGGTGGCTTAAACTCAGGCCAGGCACGTGTGCGTGTGTGCCCAAGGTCCTGAGAGGAGAATGGAGGAGAAGGGATGGTGGTGTGGCCATCCCTCCCGGGGGGGGATTTCTTACTTTCTGTCTCTCTGTCTCTCTCTGTCTTTCTGACGAGTGCACGTGCCCTATAGCAAAAACCTCTCCAAAAAAAAAAAAAAAAAATTGGGCCACATGTACACATACCTTGATTGATTGATTACTGGTTTGGGTTATGACATTTTAGTTCATACATGGCCTACTTTTATTCAGTTTTGTGATGTTATCTTAATAATGTATATTTTTATAATAATTGTACATTATATTCATATAATACATGTATATTATTATAATATTTCACCTGACCACCTAAAGTAGAAACTAGGACCTTGATGATAACTTTATCTAACCAAAAAGTTTACTGGCCTGGGTCAGCAGGTAAAATGGTGGTTAAGGTACTAGACTCCCACATGGCTGATGATGGTTCAAGTCCTGGACCCAGTGACTTGAAAATCATGCTGAGCACGTGTGCTTGTGTGCCCAAAATCCCAAGAGGACAGGGAGGAGAAGGGATTATGGTGTGTGACCATCCCCTCTGGGGATGATTTCTCACTTTCTTTCTTATCTGTGTCTTTTCTCTCTGACAAGCACATGTGCCCTATGACAAAAATCTAAAAAGAAAAAAAAATTCACTAACAATTTTTCTGCTTTCCCCAACCCAAGGTAAGCATTATTCTGAATCTTTTGCTCATTTTTCTCTTGCTTTCCTTTTTACATATTGTTATGGATTGTATTTTAATAAAATAACTGAAACATTTTGGTTGTTTTTTGAAACTTTAGTAAAAAGTTTGTCATAATATGTATATTATTTGGGAGCTTTTAAAAAACTTAGTATTGCATGACAAAGATTTATTTATATTGTTACATATTACTTTTAGTTTGCTTAATCACTTGTATAATGTTATCTTGTGTGAATATATCACAGTTTATCCATTCTTATTGATGAGCACTTGGGTTTTTTCAAGTTTTCAGCTACTATGAACAATGTTGGCCATAGGGCATGTGTGCTTGTTAGAGAAAGAGAGACAGACAGAGAGAAAGTGAGAAATCACCCTTTGGGGAGATGGCCATGCCACAGTCCCTTCTCCTCCAGTCTCTTTTTGGGATCTTGGGCATGTATGCACACACACCTGGCTCAAGTTTTAAGCCGCCAGGTCCAGGACTTTAACCACAGTCGAATACATGGGAGCCCAGTGACATAACCATCAGGCCATGTGAGGCCATAAATGCTCTTTAAAAGTGGAACGTGTGCCCTACCAATAAATTGTATAAAAAAGGGTTTTTTTTTTTTCTTTCATTTTTTGTTTTAATGTAGTGTTTTCAATAGAAATCATGTCTTTGTCCCAATCTTTCCTTGCAATCTCTGATGGTGTTAATAATTTGATGGTTATCCTTTCTGGCCTTTTGTGTGTGTACACACACACACACAATTACTTATATATATTTGTGTGTGTACATATATATGTATAATGTAATATTTAATGATTTTAAACAATCTCATATTAGTGGTGAAGTGACCTCTGAAATATTTACTATTATAGATAATGCCCAAAGAACCAATTCTTTCACATTTGTGCACATATTTGTATAGGACAGTTTTCTAGAAGTGAAAGAGCTGGGGCAAGGGATATGCATGTACATGTCAAACTTTGATAAATACTGCAAAAGTGTCCCATTTCTCCCAGAAACATTTTCCCCCAAGTTTAGCCCCACAACAATAATCATGAGTGCTCTTTAAAAGTTGACATTTTATATTGAATGTTGAAGCGGGGAGATTAATGTCTTTGTACTGACTGACTTGCATGGCATTCCCTTTTGAAAAAGCAATGTAATACACTGTAAAGTTATATGTAATCCAATGTAATATAAAGAAGATTATGATGATAATAAAAAATAAAAAAAAATTTTAAAAAAGTTGAGATTTTAAACTCTATTTCTGTTGACCTCAAGTTATTGCCTTTAAGAATTCCATCGGGACCAGCAGTTAGCATAATGGCTATGTCACTGGATTCCATGTAATCGACTGTGGTTCGAGTCCCGGACCCAGTGGCTTAAACTCACGCCGGGTGCATGTGCATGTGTGCCCAGGATCCCGAGAGGAGAATGGAGGAGAAGGGATTACGGCGTGGCCATCCCCACTGGGATGTGATTTCTCACTTTCTGTCTCTCTGTCTCTCTCTCTGTCTTTCTGGTGAGCACACGCCCCCCCTCTGTCTTTCTGGTGAGCACACACGTCCTATAGCGAAAACCTCTCAAAAAAAAAAAAAAAAAGAAAAGAAAAAAGAATTCCATGGATGGGGTGCATGGCGATATTAATGTACTGGAATCCCACATGGCTGACAACAGTTTGAGTTCCAGACCTGCCAGCCTGAAAATCACATTGAGAGCATATGCATACATGCATACATGCTGAGAATCCTGAGAGGAGCTTGGAGGAGAAGGGATCGTGGCATGGCCATTCCCCCGGGGGTGGGGGAGGGAGGAGCGATTTCTCACTTTCTCTCAGTCTCAGTCTCTCTCTTTCTCTTTCTTTCTCTTTCTGTGTCTCTCTGGCAAGTGCATGTGCCTTTTGGTGAAAACCTAAAGAGAAAAAAAAAAGAATTCCATGGATGATTTTTAGGTGGTTCATGACATGGTCCTTCTCACCATGATTTCTTTATGACTTTGAAATTTGCCCATGGGAAGCGGTTTATGTCAAATTATGTCATTAAGTAACTGTTTTACCAGCAGCAAGTATAGGGTGGAATAGATTATTAATTTTTATAGGGTCAGGTTATGTACATATCATTATGTCAGTATCTTATGCCTAATTGTATAGTTTACTATTGGAATTAAGAAAAACACTGCCAGTATGATTATAGATATCTGTCTTTATTTACATTAGTGTAGCTTAAGTTGAAAAATGTCAGAGAAAATGGGACCAGCAGTTAGCGTAATGGCTATGTTGCTGGACTCCCACGTAGTCGACTGTGGTTCGCGTCCCGGACCCGGTGCCTTAAAACTCACGCTGGGTGCATGTGCGTGCGTGCCCAAGATCCCAAGAAGAGAATGGAGGAGAAGAGATTGTGGTGTGGCCATCCCCCTGAGGGGGTGATTTCTTGCTTCCTGTCTCTCTTTCTCTCGCTGCCTGGTAAGCGCACTGTGACCTATAGCAAAAACCGCTCAAAAAAAAAAAAAAGTCAGAGAAAAGTACATCAAAGGTGTGACTCTTTCAGTTTTACTTTAATCTCTGAATCAATTGCTTACAGAAACTAGACTGCTTTTCTTGTGTATAAACAGTGGTATTCTCAGGTCATCAGTTAATTCTCTTTATATTTTTAGCTTGCATTTTTTTATCATATGTTTTTAATGACTTTGCTGATAATATTTGCTAATGGAGTTTTTTTTTCTCTGTTTCTGAATTATTTTTATAGTTAATGGACTGCTGGATTTTTCAAATTTCCTTAAGGCTGTGAATAATGTTTCTTATTCGGTCTCTCAGGATCCAGGTAAAAAGACTATTCTTCAAAAGTATAGGAAACAGAGTATGTATATTGTTCAGTATTATTTTGATAGCAACTGATTTTAGAATGAAGGGGTAGTGAATTTCTGAATCTTTTAAATGTTTTTTCCCCCTATAGCCTAGATTGAGAAAAATTAGAATGTATTTTCTTTTTCTCATAAAAGGAATTGAGCAACATGGATCACTGCAACAGCATTCTTTCTACCTCCAATCTCCAGGTTTTTTTTTTTTTTTTTCCCTTTTGAGAGGTTTTTGCTATAGGGCCATGCGCACGCCAGAAAGAGAGAGAGAGAGAGACAAAGTGAGAAATCACCCCCAAGGGGGGATGGCCATGCCACAATCCCTTCTCTTCCGTTCTCCTCTCGGGATCTTGGGCACACACGCACATGCGCCTGGTGTGAGTTTAAGCCACTGGGCCTGGGACTCGAAACGCGGTCGACTCCTTGGGAGTCCAGCAACATAGCCATTATGCCAAATGCTGGTGCCTCCAGTTTTCCCCATATGTAACCAGTAGGGTGATTCTCCTAAATACTGTATATCACTATGTATGTATTTAGCTTTTGCTGTAGTTTTTTTGTTTAGTTCTTTGTTCATGGTGTTCTCACTAGAGAGAACACAGAGAGCAAGTGAGGAAGTGAGAAATCACCCCCCACCGAGATGTGCACGCTGCAGTCCCTTCTGCTCCATTCTCCTATTGGGATTTTGCATGTACACTTGCTCACCATGTTTTTCAAGCCATTGTGTCTGGGACTCGAGCCATGGAATTGGCCAGATGGGATCCAGCATCTTAACCCCTATTGTGCCTGCTGGCCCCCAGAATGTATTGTGTTGTCAGAAAAGTCATGACATAAAAATATGTGAATCTTTAAATATGTCATGACTTTTCCAACAACCCAGTGTAATCTTAGAATCAAGGGTATATGAATGTGATAGTCTTCATATTTTTGGATAAGAAACTAAAAGGCTAGAACAATTCTTTAATGTTTGTTTCATTCATGTAATAAATGCCTACCATACATAAGAATGAACAATAGAGATATGATGCTTGGTTTACTTTTCAGATTTTGATTCCTTACTTCTTACATGGCATTTTGATGTATTCCCATGACTTTGGGTTTTTCCTGGTTCTCTCTTGTCTACTTGATTTTTCAGCTTAAGAGCATTTTCCTGACTCTAGACTTATCTATATTTGGACTTTTAAGTACTGACGACTTATTGAACCACAACTCAGAATAGTTTATTTACTTCCATATATAATATTCCCCTTATCTGTGGGAGATATGTTCCAAGACTCCCAGTGGATGCCTGAAACTGTGGGTAGTACTGAACACTATATAGACTATTTTTTTTTTTTGGCTATACATACATTCCTATGATAAAGTCTAATTTATAAATTATGTACAGTAAGAGATTAACAACAACTAATAATTAAATAGAACAATTCTAACAATATACCATAATAAAAATTTTGTGAATGTGTTTTTTTTTTTTTTGAAGAGGTTTATTTTGCTATAGGGCACATGCGCTCGCCAGACAGAGAGAGAGAGAGACAGAGAGACAGAAAGCGAGAAATCACCCCCCAGAGGGGATGGTCACACCGCAATCCCTTCTCCTCCATTTTCCTCTCGGGATCTTGGGCATGCACACACACGCCCCCGGCGTGAGCTTTAAGCCACCGGGTCCGAGAATGGACTGTGGTCGACTACGTGGGAGTCCAGCGACATAGCCATTATGCTAACTGCTGGTCCCTTTTTTCCTTTCTAATATCTCATTTTACTGTACTCATTCTTGTGGTGAAGAATGGATGAAGCTGAACTGAGTAAAATTTTATACTACTTGGAATGGCACACAACTGGGCCAGCCAGATGGTGTGGTGGTTAACGCTGCTGGATCCCAGATGGCCTAGTATACAGTTTGATTTCTAGACCCCAGTGGCTTGAAAAATATTCTGAGTGCGTGTGCATGTGTGCCCAACAATCCCAAGAGGAGAATGGAGGAGATGGGATTGTGGTGTGACCATCCCCTTGGGAAGTGCTTTTATCCAGCTGGCCTTCATATCTTTTTTATTAATTTGTAGGGTTTTTTTTTTTTCTCCTTTTCTTTCTCTGTCTGTGGTGAGCACACATGCCCTATAGCAAAATTAAAAAATAAAAAACAAAAACAGTACATAGTTTCAAACTATGATTCTGTCAAATTTTCCATGAAATATTTTTGGATCAAAATTAACTATGGTTAACATTTGAAAAACAGTCAAAAGTGAATGTAGATAAAGGGGAGACTACTGTATTTCTTATTTCTTCAAGTATTAGTTTCTTATTTTAACCCTATTTTGTGTTAATGGCCATAATGTTCTGAGACTAATCAAGAACTCCTTTTATTTTTCTTTCAAAACACTACACATAATTTTAAAATTTATTATTTTTATAAAATATTCAAACAATATATACATATTCTCCTCAACTTATATGTAGTTACATTCTGATAAAGCTCATGGTGAAGTTGAAAAGTTAAGTAAGTTGGGGACTATCTATATTAAGATATAAAAGACCCTGTTAACCCTTCCTACTCTAATATTTACCTTAGAATTCTTTTTATATATATATATCTCCATAATTTATATATAAATTTATATATATATATATAAAATGTATACATGTTTTGTCAAAACAAAATGAATTATTAATTTTTAAGCAGAGAACAACCAGAGAACCTAGGTCTCACAGGAACTAATAAAAAGATCAAGTGACTTTGAGAGAGAGGGAAGTTTTGCTATGTTATTTTACAAGAAATGATATATCCTGTTATTTAATTTATTATTTCTCAATTTTGAAATTGATAAACTTTTAATACAACTAATGTTTATATATTTTAACTATAAGTTACCTTTTAATATTTATTATCCATTTTAAAAAGTGTGTTTTCATCTCCTTTTTAAAAAAATTTCTAGGGACCAGCACATGGCATAATGGTTACATCACTGCACTCCCATGTAGTTGACTACAGTTTGGGTCCTGGACCCGGCAGCTTAAAACTCACGCCAGGCACATGTGCTGTGTGGGCATGTCCCAGATCCCTAGAGGAGAATGGAGGAACAAGGATTGCAATGTGGTCATACCCCCTGGGGGTGATTTCTTGCTTTCTGTCTCTGTCTTTGTCTCTGTCTCTCTCTCTCTGGTGAGCGCATGCGCCCTGTAGCAAAAACCTCTCTCACACATGAAAAAATAAATTTCTAGAGAGCATGTGAACTTGCCAGAGAGAACGGGGAGAGAGAGAGAGAGAAAAGGAGAAAGCAACCACCATGGAGGATCAGCACGCTGTAATCCTTTCTCTTCCATTTTCCCCTCCTTTCTTGATTTTTGTCATACATGTACACATACATGTACCAGGCATATTTTTCAAACTGCTGGTTCTGATATTTGAACTGTGAGGCTGGCCATGTAGGATCCAGCTGCCATAGCCACCACACCATTGGCTGGCCTTCATCTCTTTTACAATGATTTGTAGGAGTTTTCATATTCTGACTATTAGTTCTTTATTACATATGCTAAACATGTTTTCTCCCAGTCTATTGTTTTTCTTTTAATTTTGAAGCTATGTCTTTGTTTTTTTGGAATGGAAATGTTAAATTTTATTATAGAATTTGCTATTTTTCTCTTTTATGTTTCCTGAGTTTTGAGTCATGTTTAAAGTAGCCTTTCTCACCTCAGTAGTATACACATACATGTACACATTTTCATTGTGATTGTAGGCTACTAGTTTTCAAGGTTTTTAGGAATCTGGGGATAGGGTGATGAACAATAGGAACAGTTAAAATGCCAAAAGCTAATTTTTCTTAGTGAGAGCCATTTTTCTTGACAAAATACTCCTTGGATTATTATAGTCCTTTGATTAATTTCTATAGTTTAAAAAAATTGATTCTGACAGTTTTTGCCAGTATTCTCATTGCTCTTATGGAGGAGAGGATTTTCAAAGGTCCTTCCTCTGTTATTTTTGCTCATTTGCTTCATACTTACTAGTCAGATGAATAAATAATGCCCAGCTTTTCCTCTCTGGTTGTGCTTACCTGAACTTGTAGATCATTATGTTTATTATATCCTGAATTCCTAGAAAAATCTAGTCTGCCTATGAAGTGACTTACTCCCTGAAATGATGGGAATTGTGTTTTCTTATCAAGGTAAATTAGCGGGAACCAGCAGTTAGCGTAATGGCTATGTCGCTGGACTCCCACGTAGTCGACCGCGGTTCGTGTCCCGGACCCGGTGGCTTAAAACTCACGCCGGACGCGTGTGCGTGCGTGCCCAAGATCCCAAGAGGAGAATGGAGGAGAAGGGATTGCGGCGTGACCATCCCCCCTGGGGGGTGATTTCTCGCTTTCTGTCTCTATGTCTCTCTCTGTCTGTCTGGCGAGCGCACGCGCCCTACAGTGAAAATCTCTCCAAGGAAAAAAAAAAAAGGTAAATTAGGGGATGTAGTGATCAGAGAATTTAATGCACATTTTTTCTTCTATGTTTCTAATTCATTTTTGACTGTTAACATAAGAATATAAAATATATGTGAAGAAATAAAAGACCTTATGATAGTGATTAAACTGTTGCTAAACTCTTTGTAGTGTGATAGAAGATATGAAATTTCATAGATCTATCATTATTTTACTTACACTATCTTTTCTAAATTTTATTTTAAAATAATAACTCCCCTAAATTTTGTGTTAAGCCATTTTACTATTATAGATTATACCACAGGTAATAAATGGTTATGATTTTTCACAAAGAAGTAAATATTATGTAATGATTAAGAGGAAGCATTATGGAATAATATTGCTAGATTAGAATTCTGGCTTTCCCATTTACTGTGTAACCAGTTTACTAGACTTTCTAGGTCTTAGTTTCCTTATCTGTAAAGTTGGGATAATAATTTCTATTTTATAGGCTTGTGAGGATTGAATGAGATAACCTACAGTTTTTATTACAGTGCCTAGTACATAATTGGTTCAATAAATACCATTATTATTACTATTAACATAATTACTACAGCTAATATAATAGTAATAATAGCAGAAATTAGAATTTATGCTAGAAATGTGGCCAGAATCAGTCAATACCTACTTGAAGGTAAATATTTAGATAACTCCATGCCTTTGAGAGGTTACTTTTCCCTAGTAGGTTATTGACACACTATCAGCCCCTTCTCCAAGAAAAGCTGTTGATTCTCATGGCACAGTACTTTCTTCGCTTATTGTTCTTTGCAGCATTCCAGGATGCCTTGAAGATTTTCTGCAGGATAAAAGATGGTCGAGTTGAAATTGATGAAGTGATTGCTGTTTTGGATAGCATGAATATTCCTATAAGCTCTGAAACTTTTCAGGAAGTGATAAAACATACTTATGTTGATGGTGAGTTATTTGAATTGGTGTGTGTGTGTGTGTGTGTGTGTGTGTAAGAGGAGGTCCTCCAAAAAGTTTATATAAAATGTATATTAGGAAAAAAATATGGGCCAGCTGGTGGCATAGTAATAGTACAAAACTCTGTCAGGACCAGCAGTTAGCGTAATAGCTGTGTCGCTTGACTCCTATGTAGTTGACCGCGATTCAAGTCCTGGACCCGGTGGTTTAAAACTCCCGCTGGGCACGTGTGTGTCCATGCCCAAGATCCTGACAGGAGAATGGAGGAGAAGGGACTGTGGCGAGGCCATCCCCCCAGGGGGTGATTTCTCGCTTTCTGTCTCTCTCTGTCTGTCTGGTGAGCGCACGTGCCCTATAGCAAAAAACAAAACAAAAACAAAACAACCCCCCCCACCTCTCCAAAACTCTGTGATGCTGGGAAAGTCTCAGGTTTGAATCCTTGGGGCCTCCCTGTACATGCCAGGAGTATCTATATGTGTCCATGAGTGCCAGTGATCTGAACTGGCTGAGACAATGGTAGAGTGTGGAGTGAAGACCCTATTGGGGATGCTTGTCTGTTTTTCTGTCTCTCTCACAGAAGAAATAAATAAACTTTAAAAACAATCTTAAAATTGAAAGGAAAAATTAGTAAAAATCATGCCTGAATTTCAAAGTTCACAAAATAAATTCATACTTGAATTCTCTTTTCCCACAAATATTTGGAAGTCCCCTCATATACACCTTTATTTTTCTGTATATCAGTTTTGTGATTTATCCTTTGTTTATCCTTTTTCCTCGTGATTCTTACTTTTTGCCATTAGCACTTCTTGCTGATGTCTGCAGTAAGGGAGAGTCTAGAAAAATTTAATGAGAACTTATAAAATGGCTATATCTTGGTAGATTTGGTAAAAATCCAAAAGCAAAATAGATTAAACAAAAATTTCAGCCTTCTCCCTTTTTTCCAATAATAATTTCTTATTTTTGTGGAGAGTTAGTTTCTTGTGATGTCAAGGACGTTGGCTCCACAAATTAGGAGACCTAAATTTCTTGAAATCTAAATTTCATTATTTAGTTTAGATTTAAGAAGTTGTTATGCTGTTCAGTTACTCTTTGCATAATGTAGAATGTTTTAAATATTATAAATATATTTAGCAGGCATTTTATATTACACGTGTACATATGACCAAAGGATATCCTGTAATAATGGATTAATTAGCAGTTACTTCATTCATTCATTTAATAAGTCAGAAAGTCAGTCATTTTATATCTACTATGTATGCCTGGAATTATGCTAGGAAATTCAAAGATGAATAAAATATACTTCTTGCCAGGCATAGTGGTGCCTGCCTATAATCCTAGCTACTCAAGAGGCTAAGGCAGGAAGATTTAGAGTTTAAGGCCAGCCTGGGCAATTTAGGGAGACTGTCTTTAAAAAATCCAACTGAACAACCAACCAGCCAATCAACCAACCAAAAAATACACTTCTTGTTTTGAGGAGTATCTATTCAAGTGTGGAAGGAGTTAAATAAAATGAAAATTATAATGCTCTGTGGCACATAATTATGAGTGTGCACATAGGTTGGTAATACATACTGGAGTCACCAGGCAAAGACTGCTATCGGGGGGGCGGGGATGATATCTGAACCAAATCATGAAGGATCAGTAAGAGTTCATTGGTTGGGACTAGCAGTTAGCGTAACGGCTATGTCGCTGGACTCCCATGTAGTCGACCGCGGTTCGTGTCCCGGACCCGGTGGCTTAAAACTCACGCCGGGCGCGTGTGCATGCGTGTGTGTGCCCAAGATCTCAAGAGGAGAACAGAGGAGAAGGGATTGCGGCGTGGCCATCCCCCCTAGGAGGTGATTTCTCGCTTTCTGTCTCTCTGTCTGTCTCTGTCTGGCAAGCGCACACGCCCTGTAGCAAAAACCTCCCCCCCCCCAAAAAAAAAGAGTTAATTGGTTGAAGGTGCTAGTGAATGGTGAAAAAGACCTTTTAGACTAAGAGAACAGTTTGTGTAAATACAGCAGGAAAATAATCAGCCATGGGAATTTTAAACTAATCTTTATTTATTTATTTATTTATTTATTTATTTATTTATTTATTTTTGAGGCTTTTGCCATAAGGGTGTGTGGATTTGCTGGGAAGAGACAGAGATAGTGAGAGGGAAAGTGAGAAATCCCCCACACAGAGGGGATGGTCATTCTGCAATCCCTTCTCCATTCTCCCCTTGGGATTGTGGTCATGCTTGCACATGTGCCAGGCATGATTTTCAAGTCACCAGGTCCAGGACTTGAACCACGGTTAACCCTGTGGGAGTCCAGTGCTATAACCACTATGCCACCTGCTGGCCCCAATTTTAGACTAATCTTAAGACATTTTATTAAATAAACTCTAGGTCATGCCCCTTGAACAACAGAAATTATGTATGAAGCTTATGTAGCATTGTGCTTTTTGGCTTATGGAATTCTTGTCTAGGTTTCCACATCTCTTACTTTATTTGAGGAGGTAAATTAGACAAATGATACTATTTTTACAATACTATTGTAGATGCTAAATATAAACTTCTGTCACAGAGCTTGGCAACTAGAGCTGACTCAAGAAAGGTGAGGCAGAAACTTAAGAGTCATCCTTGATATCTTCATTTCCCTCTTCTCTATGCAATCATCATAAAGTCCTCTTACTTGAAATTCCTAAATTTTTTTTCCTTTCTTTCTTTCTCCCCACCTTACTTAAAGTTCCTTAGGATCTTTTTAAGTTCATCGTAATGAGTCTGTCCATCACATATACTGCCACCAGAATGATCTTCTATTTTTGTGATTTGCCAGAGTGTGTGTGTGTGTGTGTGTGTGTGTGTGAGTGTGTGTGTGTGTGTGTGTGTGTGTGTGTGCTTGCCAGAAAGAGAGAGACCGAGCAAGAGAAACAGAAAACAAGAAAGAACCCTCTATGGCATGGTCACATCGCAATGCTTCCTCCTCCATTTCTCTCTCCTTTTAGGATTTTGGATATGTACGCACACATGTCTCTAGCATGGTTTTAAGCCACCAGGTCCAGGACTCAAACTGTACAGTCAGCCATGTGGGATCTAATTGCCTTAACCACCAGGCTACCAGCTGGTCCCAGAATGATCTTTTCAAAACACAGGTCTGATCAGGTTACCCTCCTTGCATAAAATTCAATAATAGCTCTTGGGATAAAGAGCCCTTTAATGTGGTGTATACAAGGCCTTACATGGTCTAGCTTTTGCTGAGATTGTCAGCTTTATTTCAGACTACATTCTTGCATTCTCTCTGTGCATTCTTAGAGTTTCAACTATATGCCAAATAGTCATTATATATGTTCTTTTCTCTTTCAACATTTTTTCTCTTCCTAGTTAATTCCTACTTATATTTTATACTTAGACTCAACCGTCTATTCTTCAGGGATATTTCCCCTGACCTCTATGACTAAGGTCAGATTCTTGTATTATACTCTCTCATAGTACTAATCATGGTTGCAATTTTGTATTTTTAATTTGGTGATTAGTATCTGTATCTCAAATTAGACTAAGCACCAGGTGAACGGATATCATGTCTGCTTTTGGTCAATATTGTATCTGCGATACCTAACACAGTATATGTAGAGCACATATTAACTGCCAAATAAATGTTTGTTAAATAAGTGAATAATTATTACCCCTCACCCCACCTCCTCCAATCAGGGAGAACAAGATGTTCTTCACTTTGCTATCCTAGTAAGGTGGCTGCAATTTAATGCAAAATTCCTCATAAGGAAGGTTCTTATCTTTTGACTAGGAAAATCATCTTAATAGGTTTGTTTATGTGTTACCTGAGAAGAAAAATGGTCTTAGGGCAGGGGCAGGAATG